ATGGCTCATTGTCCGCCCGTTGCCTGTCACACGGTGGCAAAATTACAGGGCCGGGTGTTCACGTTCTTCACAACCTAAAGGCAGTCCTGTTCCTTAGAACCGCATGCTTGCCTACTCGTATTCGTTGACGATGTTTGCACGATGAACGTGCGTGACAGAGAACGGGGGCCGTTTGTGGGGTAATGGACCTTAGCTGACATAGTAAGACAACGAGACGTTTGTTCGCTGGGTGAACCCCAGAGCCCAAGGGCTTCTCCCCGGTGCCGAGGGAGTCGATGGCATTAATCACCGTTGCCTTGAGAGGTATTCGGAGCTGCTGCGCGAGGTTGAGGAGGATTTATATGAGGTGGGTGGGTGGATTGAGGGCCATTGACAGGGGGGGAGAAAGGAACGAATGAGATGGGTTGTGATGATGACGAGAGTGGGATATATTCGGGGAACCAATGTCACGACGAAGAGGACCTCACAGTGGCTGTGGCAGTTGGGATCATTCTGTTCAACCATCTATCCGACTAGGATTGCTTATCCGTTGATCCTTAATCACATCACCGCTGGCCGTCAGCACTATCGTCCCTCTTCCCAAACCTGGCGCCGAAACCTCCAATGTCCCTGCGGAAGAATTTGCCAAAGTTCTTGAGATTCTCATTCATGGTCGCCTTCTCCGTACCCGCGATGCCGCCCGGACCGGTTCCCTGCCCCAGGTCCCTCGCCGCGCTCAGAAGCTTCTCACCCAACGAGGTCGCGTCAAACTTGCTCGGCAACCCCGGCATGGCGCTGCTGGCGCTCGTGAGAGCGCTACTCGCGTTGATGGCCCCAAGACCGGAACTGCCGAGTCCTGTGGTTGCCATCAACGGCGTGAGCAGCGGAGATTGCTGGACGAGTTTGTCGCTGAGGTTGCCCTCGCGGTGGATGCCGAATAGTTCCACAAGGTGGCCCTGATCGGCTTTGCGGACGCCCTTGAGGTCGAGAATCTTTCTAAAGTTGGTATCGGAGCGATCGGCAATGTGGATCAAGTATGCTTGGACCAAGCCCTCTGGTGGCGAAGGGCGGACTTGCAGCGTCTTAAGGAGAGGGTCTATGCGGTTCATTGTCTGGTTCACTCGTTTTACATAGCCCGCTGGAGCCGCGTGCGGTGTTGAAGAAGACTTGTTGTGATATGACAGCAGATTTTCGAATGCTTTTGTCAAAACGTACTTGTCGAGCAACATCTAAATGGGGGTCAGTATATGTGTGAGGACTCGTGTGTGGTGGGAGCATACCTGTTCAGCGCCGACCTCGGAAACTGGGCGACATTGTACAATGTTGCTAATGTAGGCGTTGACGAGATGGTCCACCAGATTATCGCAAAATGCCCTGGCGTATTGCTGCTTGACCAAAAGGCCCAGTATCTCCTCGGCTTTGCCGTTTACGGAAGATAGAAGCTCACCAACATATGAGCTTTGATCGCCCACAGTCTCCATGGTGCTCCAGCCTGTGTTACGCATCTCACGCCAAGATCCCTCGCAGGCGATCTCAACGTTACGTACTAACGTCAGCACAGCAGCGCTGGCCACGCCAAGAAAGGCATCGGCTTGTGATGATAGGTCAACTTTTACAACAAGCTCATTATCGATGCGCTTTTTGATGTTTTCCTCCAACTGGGTAGTATTTGTAGACCAGAAATCTGCCGTGTTCAACACCAAAATGACGTCTTGGATTGGCGGACCTTGAGGTCCAGCCCTTTGCAAGATGTGCAGAAGAACTTGTTGTGCGTATTCGTCGAGGTACTTTGCCAGCGTTTTGGAAAGGTCCAATAATCTGTCACTCGTAGATAATTTGGCGCATTGGGATAATGTAAGTTTGTAGAAGTGGAACAGTTCAATGGCTGAGGAAATGACGGCTTGCGTAGAAAATTCTTCGTCTTCCGGAAGCAGAGGCTGGTTTCGATATTTTGGTATCATTGCAGCAAGTTGCTTGTCTTGCGACTCCACCCACAAGCTCAAATACGGCTCGAAAGCAGTTGATATCGAACCATGGAAATTCGATGCTCTGTCGTCGGATGAGCTCAGGGTATCGATACTGGCGCGCGGTTCGTTGGCAAACCGCCTCTCTAGGCCATGCTCAAAGTCCAACGTCTCCTGTAAGCAGCTCAGAAGAAGGTTTACGTCAATCTTCTGCCCATCCGTCTTGCGCATGCTTCTTTCGAGGATGCCCTTGAAGTCGTCTCGAGTGCCGTCACAGAAAGCCATGGCCAGTAATTCGTTCGCGCGCCAATGGGCCGGGAAAATAACAGCGTGCTCATCCTCATGAGTCTTGAGCATGCGTTTAAACCATGCATACCTGCGACCGATATTATCCAGGTTCCCGGCCTCGTCGTTGCCCCTGAACACCTGGCGGTACTCGCGTAGTTCCGTATTGACGTACCAGTTCATCAGTCGCGTCCGAGCCATGTCGCCCAAGGCATCCATGACCAGACAGGCCTCTACCAGTGTACCCCTGCGCTGTGCGACCTCTCCCTTGGCAAACGCAATCTCGAAATCTTCGCAGACCTGCTCCAACAGTTCCCGCTGCAGCTCCGAAACGCCTCGGCTCAGCGTGGCGATCTGTTCAATGCTCCGGTAGCTGTTGAAGTGCTTCATAAGCTGCAGCACAGCTTGTAGCAGGCTCGCGCAGTCTCGGTATTGCCTCGTCTTGGCCAAACCTCTCAGCTGTTCGTATGCCGTCGTCAACATTTGCAGTCGTTTCAGCGCGGTCATGCTCAATGTGAGGTTCCGTTTCGTGCCATCCAATCGTTTTATATCGGCCGTCATGGAAGTGATGTTCTGCTCGGTTTGGATTGCTCGGGATCGCACGGTCTCGATCTTGCGGAAGAGCTGGGCGAGTTCGGCTTGGGCAGACTGCATGCGCTCGAGGCTCGAATCGGGACCGTATGCCTGGGCGACCTCAAGGCTGGAGATTTCGACGGCGAGATCATTTTTATGGGTCTGTAGTGTATCGGAAACGCGACTGATTGAGGTTACGGTTGAGGGATGTGGAAAGAGGTGGTTTAGGTGCTCGATAGGATCATAGTCGGCTGCCTCGGGGTCAGATATGAGCTGCGCCTAGCGAGAGCGGGAGTGGAATTCGTACCAGCATCGAGTGATGTTTTCCCGCTAGTTGATGTCCCGTTCATGCTGAACACCCGTGTTGACTTGGTCTGCGTGAGAAGGTGGTGATCTGGCGGGATTGGACGGGACAGTTTGCTGCATGTGTCAGATTCCCTGAAGAGTTGAGCTGCGTGTCTTGGGAGCTCCGAGTCGAAATGGCGTCACGTGTTAGGACAGGACGCAGGGGGATCTGCGACGGGACCTACCGTGACCAATCGGAATACGCTCCGAGAAGCTCCTCAGGTTCTGGAAGCAGGCGGCAGGCGGCAGACGCTGTGCAGTCCCTTTTTTTCTAGATCGGCCCACCTCGAAAAAGTCTGGGGAAAGAAAGGTCGAATTTTGTTCCCTTCTTCAAGCAAACCTAAAGACGACGTTCAGATGCGGAAAGGATCAAGGCCGGGTAGACATGGATCGCTCCTACCTACCTTAGCCCTTGCATGATGCCTGCCTTACTTTACCTAAGGTACCTACCTACCTAGTAGTACCTGACTGTGTAATCATATTGGGATAACATCGGCCATTGGCGCGTGCAATACGTACTGGCCGCAGCAACTTCTCTTCTTCACTTCTACAACAAGCACACTTCCTCTTACAATCTTTTACCCACGAGGTCTCTCCGTCGTGCTTCTCGTGCACCGTTTCTTTGGCGATAAGCATGCATTGCTTGCTATCCTGGGCAGATGAGAACGAAGTACTATGCACTCAGTCTATGTCTCCTTCTCGCCACCTCCACGCCGTTTCAATGACGATATGCCCTGGTCTGCACACAGTCAAAACAAACGACCACAGAATATTTAAATATTTATCCACAAAAAACTCGGCGTGCGACGAATTTCTGTGCCACAAACTAGCGGCCCAACCTTCAGGAACACGCCACATTGACGAATTTGGTATGTTTCTAGGGCTTTCCGTAATACGGTATCTCGTCAGACGGTAATTTGAACTACCTCCAAGCGGGCTATTGCGTTGGCTTAACCTAGGAGGCAGTTGAACAGCTTTCTTCAGAGTGCGTCAAGCTCATCTTAACTAAAGCCAGACTCATCCGCACTGTTTCGCTGCCACGTCGAAGAAATTGATCATGGGCTTATCGTCATTCCAGTCCAACCCTTACGGATAAGGTTCGACAGAGGAAACAGATGCTATAATCGCTGACGACTCGGAAGCCAATATGAGCCAATATGGCAAACTTCTCGAATACATCCTGCAATCCATGTCGAATCCATTGCAAGTACCTCCATGTCATCGCGACAAAGGGCAATTGGAACTCTATCGACCCAAATCCGCATTGCTGGAAGCAACGCCACAACCTATAGACTGGGGTGCGCCATGTCTTCCAACTCATGTCATGGTGGGGGTTCCTGGGAGATGAGGTGCTACTCTGCCAACACATTGGAGCTCTCCAGCCACTTGCAAAGGCTCGTGTCGCATCAATCTCTACTCGCATGAGTAGCCAACAGGAAAGACGATAAATTACAACCCCCTTTCCTTGCCACACAAATCGGTTGGAGACCACAGCCAGCAGATAACGCGGCTCGCCATTTGCCGTATTGCCTGGTGCTTGGATATCCCGACTCAAGCCACGGGCCTCCAAACAACGGACCAACGCATGTTTCGATAGTCGAAGTTTCTGCCCACCATTTCAGGGATGTCTCGATCTGATAACTGACCAACCATGGCGGCTAACATCAGACGACGGATGACAGTCGGACACCACCACCTATTCAACGTCAACTTTGTCGCCTGGCTAGAGTCGTCAGCCAGGAAGGATGCTTGGGGACACTCGCTCATGCGGCCGCTTATGGCACCAGTCTAGAACGACTGGTGACGAACACATTTGTCTGACTTGTCAGAACTCTGTCAGGGCGAGGCGTTCACATGCACTCCGTTTCAAATCGACACCATCTCGGTCTTTGCGGCAAGCGTGTCTCCCGAGACCGAGCAGCCCAGCCTCCCGATATCCTCGAGAAGGGCCCCCACGCCCGGTTCTGCTCGGCACAACCCAATATCCCCGCCGCCCCCCGTGACCCCCGATCTTTCCGATCCGACCCTCCTGGCGTCGTCACTCCGGAGGCGAACGGGAGCCTAGAAACAGATTACACAGCAGTCAGCACAAAGTACCTCGGTTACGAGCCATTTCACTGCACTTTCAGGCTTGCTTGCAAGCCGGCGCAAACATGGAAACAGACACTAGTTACCTTTGTTGCAGGCATCCAGCTCCTCACGTCTGACAATGGACTTGTTGCTCCAACAGGTTCCATTGTGCCGCAAGTCAGCATTTCCCCTGCCCTATATCGCCCCATTATTGTCACCTGCCATATCACCTGCCACGTCCCCGTCACGCATACGTCGTTTTAAGCATTCCGGGTTGGTCTTCCCGAGGAAATTCTTCAGCAAAAAGCACATCATCCCGTCAAGGCTCAACCCCGATAACCGAGTCATGTAAATCTGGGCAAATCCGCCCCTCCCTCGCCCCCCCTCCCATTCTTTCTTGGGCCTCTCATACCCTCGTAACCCCGAGAAGCACCGTAGATCCTGTGGTCTCCCCCCTCCTCTCATCCCTCATCCCCGCCATCCCGCAATCGGCCGGGGCGGCCAACGCCCGACGTCCAAAGATGCCCACTCAACCACTTTCTACAACACACCGCACTTTGCCTGCCGGGCGGCCATGACGGACACGGACGCTCTCCACTTCTACCACAATACTACCAAACCAAAAAAGCGCGCCGTTCATTCTCCAACACGGCGCCGTCGCATCTCGGGAAGGAAAAAGAAACCAGAGATTCTGCACCGCTGCCAGACCAAGGCGGCCCGCCCTTCTCCCACGTGGAAAAAAGCAAAACACAATCGAGGCCATCTAACTTAACCCGCCTTCTCTCGAGTCAGTGCGCCGCATCGGCTTCCCGCTCTCGTGCTAGGCGGGCATGCTGGGTGCCTTCCATACCCTTGATGAATTCAAGGCGTTGCTTTCGTCGAGGCTAGTGAGGAGCCAGGCAGCCTCACGCAGAAGAAGAGCGTCAGGAGCTGAAGGAAGCCACCCTGGGCAGTACGGGTTGATGGGCCTGAAAAGCACGACGGACAGAAACGAGGCGTCCCTTGATCAAGTTTCCCGGGCGGAGGCGCGCGTCAGAGCCCGAGTGCTATATCGGGCCTCAAACATACCGTCGTCGTCACGGCTCCCCAATCCCCCTGGACCTAAGACGACGCCATCGACAAACTAGCACGTAAGACGATTGCGCCTGGGACCGGCCCAAAAGGCTAGAAACACCTCTGAAGATGGTAGCCGTGACTAAGAGCAGAAACCGAGCCACGAACAAGTTTTCCCACGAGGCACACTAATTAGCACACACCGACACCCCAAGTGCCCCAGCGTCCCGACTACTCCGTCGCTGATACACCACACCACAACTCTGGACATGAAGCATGATCCAGACCGCAAAACACACCGCAACATTGATTCTCGTCGAGGAATCTCACCTCATCTCACCTCATCCCTTCACCGACACCCATGTTATTCGGGACCATGAATTCACTAGGCGAGAGTCCATCGTCATCGACAGTGGACTGTCTGGTTCAGCACGACCCCGTACCTGTTCCCGTGATGTGAACCCACGTGTGCAGCACACCCACTTTCTGCCGTCATCTCTGCTACCCCCCCCTTCGTTTCCAAGAATCCCATCTGGAGCCTGCTGTGCACTCAAAATCCGAACCTGAAAGTGAACCATGCCCCCTGTCAAGCCATTACACACCATCCCGATGCAGCAGCCCGCAGTCTTTGTATCACCCACCGTGGTGTGTCTCTGGTCAGATTTCAACTGTTGCGTTGGAACAGCATTGGGATAAGTCACTTTTGAGAAAAAATATTGATGGAACTTTCTCTTCTAGTGTGTTGTAACCCAACCCCTGGTTGTGACTTTGGCGGCGACTACATATGGTAAGGTACAACGCATACCTACTTGGCCGACGTCCTCAATCGGGCAAATAGAATAAGCACACCGTCCTTACGGGCAAAATAGGACAGAAGCACGACAACAAGACGAAAACTTGGAAAAGAAAACCCCCGAATAGCAACCAATCTTTTCAATCTCTTGTATTTCCGATCGACAGAGCAGCCTGGCTTGCATTCTCCCATTGGGTACCACTCGACGCCCACACCCCTCTTCTCCCCCGAAATCCAACCTCTCACATTTAACCCCGTCTGGGTGATCCCGAATGGGAATTGCAGATTCATCACCGCGAAAGACACGCATGCGCACGCATTTAACATCCTAACACATCCTACAGCACAGCAGGGCTCTCTTGACACCCCGTCGAATGAAGAAGTGTTGATGCGCGCCTCATATGCAGGACCATGACTCTCTCCCACATATTTGTCCTGAATGTGCAGGAAAAATACGATTGATCTAATTCCCATCCAAATTCATGTCGAACCAACACAGCTGAATCAATTAGAAAAGAAACTCAGCCATCTGTGACAGCAAGTCAAGCTAGGCCAACAAACAGGCCAGGGTGTGGGTGTGTGTATGTGGTCACAACACGACAAAAAGCCACATGAAGTCGGGAGCAAGAAATACCGAAGAATTACCAGCTCAGACACACCACCCACTTTTTTACTTGGTTCACATTCACCTTTCGGTATCACAATATCTGACTGACCTTTCTGTACTTCCATTGGATTGGATGTTACATGGAATGAATACGAAAGATCCCAAAAGAGTAAAACCCCTCTACCAAATAGACCTACTAACTACCTTAGTTAGCAACACGCTGCATCTCAAAAAAGGGAAGTGAGCGTTCTTACAACGCCCGTAAACAACAAGAGGTCGCAGAAACGGGCACGGCGAACGGGCTGACAATGATGGAATCACATTCCGAATCGGTCGAGCTGCATGGTTCTCCATCCCACCACCACCAACCCTCCATTGGATATACCTGCACGGTAGTCCCCCCACCCTAGCGTACATCGCATGCCGTAGCACCCAGCTTGCCAGCGTCCTCCAATTCCATTACCTTAGAGCGAAATCCACGCTTAAACTCCAGAATAGCAATGGTGGCTCTCACACTCTGTCAACCGTCACGGTCACACACACACATCCCGTACAATATCCTGGTTGTTGATCGACAAACAAGAAACCCTGGATTGGCCCTTGCACTCTCCCCCCCCCCCCCTCTTCCCTCCCACCTCACCCGGTACGGTAACGGTACGCAGTATGCCTGCGGTCGCGCAGACCCCCAGCCCAGACACGGCTTACCGAATCGCTTCCGTCTCCCGTATCTCGGAGTGGGCTCCGATCCAGCGGGCTTTCCCCACCCCGGCTGTTTCCCTTTTGCGAAGTCTGCCCTGCTGCCCTGCTGCCGCCCCCCTTCACCTCCCATCCATGATCCGACCCCCTCCAAGTGGTACCGGTATGGGTATCGTATCCCTTGTTGCCCTTCCATTTTCCCACTTGGAGCAACTTCTCCCAATTCCCACTTGGAGGCATCGCGACAGTATGTACTGCGGACGTACGTACAGTAAGAATATCATTGCCCCGCGCCGATCTGCGTGGGTTGCCTCACTCGCACACCCACGCAAAAAATGGTTGCCCGCAGAAGAAAATGATTACCCACACACCCACCTCACATCAAGACCCTCCACACCACTCCTTCTTGGCCCATCCGAGGGGGACTTCCCCTCGGTGCCCTTGTGCCCCTCAAAGACCCCTCCATGAGGGACGACCGCCCACTGCTACAAGCCTACAATGCCGTGCGTGGGTGCAATACTGCAGCACTGCAACCCACAACCCATCACACACAAAAAATCTCACGATTGTTAAAGGAGGGGCAGAAATTCTGAACCAAAAAAAGGTCTCTGTGTGCTCCATTGAATTTGCTCCAGGCCTCCGGCTTTCTCGTCCTAAGAGCCCGTGAGAGACTGAGAGACCAGAGTCGCCCACGCGAGTCAACGGCGTCCCACGCGCCCAGACGCCTACCAAGAAATACAAATTTGGTTTCCCATCCACCAGATATTTCCGCCCAATGCCACACCCTCCTCATCTCGCTCTCTTCTATAATATGAGTCATGATGCAAAACCGTCGTGAGGGTAGAGAAATCGTGAGAAGCCATATGATGCCATGCAAAGTCAGCTACACCGCCACCCCTGGTCCACGCGTGGGATATCATCAGCCGCCCCAAAATTTTAAGTGTCCTTTCCCCGCCCCCAAAAATCCAGTCATGCCGCCGCCGCCTGTTGATGCGTCGATCAAAAAGATCCAAGGGGGAATCATTCGTAAAAACTGAGCAAATGTCGAAAATCGAGTAAGAAACAAGACCGTGATGCAGGTCGCCGAATTAAAAGGAAAAAAAAAGAACGCCATGTCGCCCCCCTTGTCAGATGCTGTCGATCCCCTTACTCCGCGCAAATGCAATTATCGTCTGTCTGTCACTGCCTTCCGGCCCGTGAGGCCGAGGTTTGCCGACACGTGTCGGCGGACTGTTGCTGAATGTCTTGGACGCACTCTAGGTGATCCATTCTGAGGAAAATTAGCCCATCAGGAACTATGCAGAGCTCTGAATCCGGTGGCTATGAGACTCCGTGAGCTCTCCTTTGCGTCTGCTGGTCCGCTCCAGTAGAATAGTCCCTATCAACTCGTTAGCACATGTATCATTGCATGGTATGATTGGGGCAAAACATACTCCTAGGCTCTTCTGTTTGCAAAATGCAGCCTTCATCTTCACCGTATCGGGGTTATCATAAGTGACGAAGCCGCCATCTGCTCCGACGCATTGGGCCCCGATAGACTTCTTGTCAATGACTTCCTTCGTCCCCCGACGGGGAAGTTGGTTGTACTCGAATGTCCCATTGCTCCCGCCACTTCCCTTGAACTTCTGTCCCGGCCCAGTGGCATGAAGAAAGCTGCGACCGTAGAGGGGAATGCCGAGGAGGATCTTTTGCGAGGGAAAGCCTTGCGAGACCAGATACTGCACGGTTGATGCGCCCGAGGTTTCGTCCTTGCTCATTGCATACAATTGCGCGTGATGGCCGCTTCTGTGTGTCCACGTGCCGGCGAAGTCGTACGCCATGAGGTTGAGGTAGTCGACGTAGTCGGCCGTTCGTTGCAGATCGATGTATTGCAAGATCGCTCGGCTGGCAGGTAACGCAGCAGTAAGGAGATAATGACTTTCGGGCATATGAAGGCGAACAGCCGCCAACAGAGCCAGGAAATGGTGGCCCTGCTGAGAATCACAAGGATACTCCCACATAACTGATCGACGATGTGAGCTAACAAAACACTAATGCAGAGGCAGGAAGAATCGAGCAAACTCACTATCAATGCCATCCAAGCCCGACGCGTCGACCAGGCCTCTCGCAGACCGG